GTTAAAATTATCATTCATGAGTTTCCCCACAGGCAGCCAAGAGTCACTCAAGAGCTGAGCTGACCAAATATCAAGTTAAGTTAAAACAATTTTCACTCCATTTTACCATGGACATACTGAAAACCACTAGCTTTAATAGTACAATGAAACTCCTACATTTTAAGTCAATAATAGTAAGATTGAAATGAGTTTACATCTGCATTATTAGCCTTAAGTGTTAAAAGCGTAACAGCTACATACAGATTCCTCCAAAAGAGGGGCAAGGAGTACCATCTAATACTGCGAGAACATTCCTTATGCTGCATTGCAGTAAGGAAGCACTTTTAAAGTTTACTGTAACATTAGGCAGGCTCTGGCTCTTAGAACCCCAGCTGCTTATTAGTACAATCTCCTTAAATGTCACCATTGCTATGAAATGAAATTACTAAAAATCACTTACTATGCAAAGATGGTTCCATTGTAGCCATTCATACAAGATTCAACAATGTTTTTAGCCACACTTGAGAACACAGACTCCTGGGGACAAGGGAAAGAGAAGGTACTTGGCACCACCTGTTGAAGTATCTTTTATATCAGTGTTTCCTATGCCATAACTTTATGGTATATAATAGATACATTCCTTAAGGTTAGACATGTACCATGGTCTCTGGAATTCTCAGAAAATCTATACGTCTTAAGTCCTTGTGATATAAATCACTCTCTCTGAAAAAATGGTATTCCTTGATAAACTTGAAAAGAAATAATAAAATTCAGCATCATAGTAACAGCTTCCAAATACATAATAATAATAATTTTGATCCAGTGGTTTTGATTATGTTATGCAGTTTATACCATCAGTAGGCCAGGTACCTGTGACACTTTAAAATCCAGGTTTGAACATCTGCCTCTGCACAACAGCACATTCAACAGACCTGCACAACTTAGTCTCATCTATATTCACATTTTTCTCTTATATCTGCAAGAGAGCCTAGCTACAAATAATAGCCTACAGCAGGTGAGGTTTTGTTTTGTTTTTTTAACAAAAATTAAATGGAATTGGGAGTCTTAGCAGAATTTAAATTATGTTCACAATGCCAAACCCTACATTATAGAAATTAAATTGAAGGATTTTCTTTCCAGTATTGCTTGCCCCAGGTGAGCAATGCATCCATTTAAAAGGCAAAAGTCTAAGAAGGAAATATAGTAAATTGAATATAAACTCGGAAGTTCCTTAAATACAAACGTGCAGGGCCAGGATGATCCTTGTGAGTCCCTTTTAACTCAGCATACTCTGTGATTTTGTGAAATCACATCTTAATATCAGCTACTAACTACCAGTTATTTTTATACATTTGTCTCAATAGGCAGATTTATTTTCTCTCTGTGTTGTTACCATAATGTTTACAAACAAACCTCTCAATTTTAATTCAAACTCCAATTAAGGAAATTAACAGCTAAAAAAAAAAAAAATCAGAACTGTTAGACAGCAGAATTTAGTGCAGCATTCTGTACTATAATGACATATTGCCAATCTGACCACTCCAAAAATTAGACCTAATGCACTGCATCTTTAGAAAAGCTTAGCCTTTCTAAAGTAGTTGCCAAAACTTGGGTGAAAATAGCAGTAGTTATGAGATTATGAAACGATTACCTGTGTTGTTTCCATATTTGCAACATAATCAAAAGTGAAGATCTTTGGCTCAGGCTTTGAATGCAGGCGGATGGTATTTGATGAAAGAACAGATAAACACAGGCCATGATCTCCATCGGTCAATGCAGCTCTCTCTGAAGGGGGACGCACCCTTACAAAAACTTTGATGGCATCACCTTCAACACTAAATAAATGTTTGTGTATTAGACTACTTCCAAATAAATCAGCTGTCTGATAAAATTAAATCACAACAATCAGATTAAGCATGAGAAGTCTTACAAAAGTCTGTCTGAAAACCATACTATTTGTAGATGAAATCATTAAAGGTAAAAATGTGGCAGATTTTAAAAACAAAGAACATGCGGTTTATTGATGTGGTGCCTAATTTTAGGTCCAAAAGAAACCATTACACAGTGAACATGATATGCCCTTCTTTCTCTTGGAAGTTTTAATGGACCAATGGATCAGATAATGCTACAGTCCAGCAAAAAAGTTGTTAGCACTTTTCTTTGGTGCTCACAAGACTGGGAAAAAGAATCAATTTTTGATCAATGAATCAAATGAAGCATAGCATCTAAAATATCCCTAACCAATTTCATCACATTTGTCAGCTTTAATAAGTAACTGTGCATGACTCACATAAAGGCTCTGAAGAGTTCTGCCATAAATACCAATACACCCATAAAATATTAAAGAATTAAATTCTTACATGAAGTGGTAGCAAACTTGGATTTACTTTACTTCATTCTTTTCCAAAAGTTTCATCAGGAGGATGTTATAACTGCTATTTTTACTTTTGGTATACAAGTGAGAGAAAGAGAACAGTTTTAAAAGTGAGGAAGGGTATTCATGAATGAAATGTGCAGTTGGGTAGTGGCAGAGGAAAGGCCTAAGAACATAAGCAGCAGCTGAGAAAGGGAAATTTTTACACTGGATTTAAGACACACCAAATTAATTTGCCAACTGTTCTTTCATTGTTTAACATTATTCTGAGTTGTGGCAGTTTACACTTGGAGGGCTTTTTGGTGTTAGTTTAGGGCTTCCTCACAGGACTGAAGTTTCTAGTGTGATATTTCTACATATAAACTCTAGAGTCCAGCTGCAGAATTAGAAGACAAATGAGAATTTATTGCATGGCAGCATTCCAAGAGGAACCCAACATGTCAGCACAACAGTTTTTTTATGAGCACATTTTATTTTAAGCATTTAAGGATGTTAGGAGAGAAAGGTAGCAACCTTAAGCAGGTAAAGATTGGAAGAAAAAACTTTAAATTATCGCACAAAGGTATGCTAGGTTTTGTTTGCACTTTCTGTGCAATGTGATTAATAATATATGGGAACTAGCCAATATTATTTTACCTAGGTGAGTTCAACAAAGATATTGAAGAGTCACGCAAATCTCCTATAAAAGAAAAGAGGGAGACACAAAAATTAAAATAAAATTACTGCTCAAAACTCCCCACCTAAACAGAAAATACTGTAAGCAGTACAGAGGGAAATAAATGGAGAGATTTATAAATTTCTGCTTTGTGCATGAACAGAACCGCATGAAAATATTCGGTAATTATCTTCCTTTGGCAGAAAGATTTGTTACAGAAGTAGAGAAAGCTCCAGTCCTTTAATGTGAAGATGCACACATTTGTCAATGTGTCATTTGCTTAGCCTGGCAAAAAGGAGACTCTGGAAGACCTTATCACTCTACAGCTGCCTGGAAGGAGGTTGTAGCCAGGTTAGGGCTGGACTCTTCTGCCATATGACAGGATAAGAGGACATAGCTTCAAGCTGTGCCAGAGGAGGTTCAGGTTGGACATCAGGAGGAATGTCTTCACTGAAAGGATGAATAGACTTTGGAATGGGCTGCCCAGGGAGGTGCTGGAGTCACCGTGCTTGGAGATGTTTGGAGTGGCACTCAATGCCATGGCCTGGTTGACAAGGTGTTGGTCAGCTATAGGTTGGATTCCATGATCTCAGAGGTCTTTTCCAACCTCACTGATTCTGTGATTTAGCCTCATTTTGCCCAGCTTCATATTTCAAGGAGATAGCACATATTACACCACAGTACATAAAGTGACTTTTTACTTAAGAGTGAAATCTCACATGAAAGTACATAACAGAATCAAAATATTAACTATGTAACAAAACTGCATTTAGAAAATAGGCACAATAACAATGAAAGACAAAATATTCCAATAATAAAGTACGTATAAAATCTTTAAAACTACAGTTTTTTTTGGTAGGAGGATCGCATTTAACAGCAGAATGAACAATGATGTGCGAAGATGCTAACCTTCTCTTTGACATTCATACTACTTAAATATCCTGCTGCTGCATGAGCTTTTTACGTGCTGTTTTGACTTACTCGACATCTGAGAAGTAGTTTTGCTTCTAATTAAGTAAATTATTCTTCAATTGCACAAGTTATCAAGGAAAGGAGCGCATTTAAAAACCGAAATCAGACCGACAGGTGCTTGCAGAGCTCTGGAAATAGCCTGGAGTTGTGTCAGGGGAGATTTGGGCTGGATGTTAGAAAAAGGTTCTTCACTCCGAGGTTGGTTGGACATTGGAACAGGCTCCCCAGGGAAGCGGACACAACACCGAGCCCGACAGAGCTCAAAGAAGTGTTTGGACAACGCTCTCGGGCACATGGTGTGACTCTCGGGGACGCTCCTGTGCAGGGCCAGGACTTGGACTCGACGATCCTTGTGGATCCCTTCGGACTCAGCTGAATCCGTGATTCTGGGAAAGGGCCGAGCCTCAGGTACCGCAACAGCACTGGGGCAGCGCTCTGTCCGGAGCACCGCAGGGCGGAACCCCCAGGAACACCGAGCCCGCCTGGGAGGCACCGAGCCCGCCTGGGAGGCACCGAGCCCCCGCACAGCCGCACCGGGCCCCGCTGGTTCTCCTATGCGGGTAATGCCCCGCCAGGCCAGAGCCGCTCCTTAGTTCTCGAGGCCGTCCCGGTCCCCCCTCACTCCCCCAACCAAGAGCACATCCCCAAACCCCCTCGCGGCCGCCCCCGCTCACCTCTCACGCCGGGACCCATGG